GTCCGTGGCAGTGTGCTACGTGTAACAGAACTGCTGGAAGATGAGACGGGGAGAGCACGTGTTAACAATGTGAAAAATGCAACTGGAAGTAGGCTGGGGTGTGAAAGAGGCTCAGAGTGACTTTATTCTGTCTCTGCCAAAGCAGCAGATCTAAAAAGCTTGATGCTGGGTCACTGCAGCCGCCAGGCCTTAGGCTGCGCAGGAGATGTGTGTCTGCTTTTTCTAGCATCCATAATGGCTGTGGAAAAAGCTTTTCAGAATTACAGAGGCATAGAAAATAGATGGTTAATAGTGTTCCAGTCCATTTTTTTTTTCTGTGGGAAACAGGAGCCCTCCTTACAACACACCTTTCCCTTCCTGCTCCGTGGAGCCTCGTTCAGGTCAACCAGCATTTTGGTTGCCGTTTAGAAGCTACTTCCTTGTGCTGGGTGCAGTGGAGAACACAGTCATGCTACTGGAATGGGCACTTTTCTTTGTCTCTTGGACTGTCTGTAATTGTGTGCCCTGGGGCAGCTGGCAGGACAGAAGTGTCTCTGGTGGCTTATTCTGCTCATTGAGCTGGTACGAGCTGTGCCAGGGAAGGTAACTTGTTCAAGGTGTGAGCAGTGCCCTGCAGGAGGGGGTGGCTTGAGTAGCTCTGCCTGCAGATCTCTTCCAGCATCATCCTGGCTATATGGTTTTCCACATCCTGTCACTGAAATACCATTGCACCCAACCTGCAGTACGGGACAGTCCCTGAAGTGTTGGTGTGCTGTCTGAAGTGATTGGCAGTGCAGCACATCTGAGTGGACAGTGTGCAAACCCTATCATTTTGGTATCTAAAAGCTCTCCTGGTATGTTAAGTATTCTAATTTTGTTTGACTACTCCAAGTTATTTCCTCTTATCCTAACAAGAATGCATCTTCACTCTCAGCAGTACATCATTCTAAATTAATTGTTTGACCTCAAATTTTTTTTAGGGCTAATTTGATGGCATGATTATAATTCATAAGATCTCATTTTCAAGAATACAAAACCCCCCATAACATGTCTGTTTGATGTGAAATTGAGCTTTGATCACATTTAATTGGAAGGGAAGGGCTGGTTGGTAACTCTTCTGTTGATGCAGAACATCTTCAGGAGAGGAGAATGAGTCTAAGAGTGTGTACTGGGATCTGCAGGCAGCCATTCACTTCTCACGCTTCTCAGTTTTGGTCTTGTTCATTAAAGCTTCGTAAATGAGTAGCCTTAACAGTTGTGCCTTCTGCTTTTACAAGCTATGAGGTGAAAAATCCCACCTGGCAAACTGGTTTCTATCTTGTAGATGACTGGACTGAATGCTATCCCGTGGGAATTGGGCATTTAGAGTAAGTGTAGTAGGTGAAGTTGGGGTGGAAGCTGCAGGATGTTGTGCCATGTTTCGTACAGGGAAAAATCAGATGTTGTCTAGGATTAACAGTATCTTGTATGATGCAGTCTCTGAAGCATATTTCTTAAACTCACTTGAGTCTAAACCTGTAGTTTTATACCAATTCCTGTTGATGGTACAGGGCCACAGAAGCTGTTATCTGCTTCTCATGGCTAGATACAGCTTCATCTTCCCATTGTGTTTGCCTGCTGGCACTAGCGGTGGTCTTTAGGCATACAGTTAATTACCTGTAGCACCAAGAGAGCTGTTAGTGTTTGAAGTACTGGTGTTCTGGAGTATTTAACTGGGTTAAGTACTCAGTGAATCTCAGGTTTGTGGGCATCTGAACAAAGTACCCACTCAAGCCTGAGCATGAAGAGCTGATGTTAGGTGTGCAGGGATTTCCCTTCCAGGGGTGACAACACAGTGACAACATGTTGTGGCTTCATGGCACACACCAGTGAGACTTCAGCTTGCAGTGAGCAGGAGCCAAACTTGCTCCATGTTCTGGGTGTTTCAGTTCATGTCATTAGGGAAGCACGTGTACATATAGATATATATGTGGGTGGCCTTTACTGCCTAAGCAAGGTGGGTCCATACCCTGCCTTGTTCATGTAAACACACCCTCAATCACTACTTGAGTATGATCTGTTAGTGACCACTGCTTAAGCACAGAGTTTAGTTGGCTTGAGAAACTGCCATTTCAGGTGAGTGATGGTTTGAAGTACTGTCAGCGAAGAAGTCTCCTCATCTGTAAGAAAGCCAAGCCTTTCTCTGTCCCTGTTGGGTCAGGCCTACCAGTGGCATAGGGAGGGTTGTGTAGTTGCTATAGTACTGCTGTGTACATCCTTTGGATTTTTCAGTGTGTTCCCTAGAGCTCTTTGATGTTCTTCAGCTTCATGACAGCTGTATTAGATGTGTGGGTAATACCTACTTATATGATATTCACGGATGCTTGAATAAATTTGGCACTTCTGCATGTCTGGACTTGCTGATGCTTGTTTGGGGCATATTTGACTCTGCAGATGGCTTCAGGTCCTCTGGTTCAGTTTAACGGCAATAATTCTAAATCTTTGGGATAATTATACAGTGTGGTTCATGCTGAAGAATTCAACTGAAAAATAGCTGCTATACAACTTCATTCTCTTGACTGGCTCCACATGTTTTGCTGAGTTTGCTTCTAATCTGCGTTATCTACAAGTCACTGAACACCTGATCGTTCTCATCTGTCTGTTTTCCTCTCTTATTTAGCTTGTTTGTTCTTCCCTTCTTCATAAATGCATGTTTTGGCTTCCCTTGATAGTTAGGGCTTGAGGTCTGACCTCTCCACTCTGTGAAAAAACAGTTGTGCTGCGTATAGCAGAATCAAATACTGATGATATTTGCTGGCTTAGGCAGTAGTCTAGAGGAGCAAATGCTTTTTGGCAGACAGCTATAGGTATACAGGTTGTTCAAGGTAAACTATTCCACAGGGACCCCCTTGAGAAACACGCTTCACTCAGAAGCCTGGCAAAATTTCAGTGTAGTACCCTTATCAATCGACTGGCTTTTAAGCATGCTGCCCCAGGATATTAAGTATGTTTTCAAAGTGTTTGCTTTTTATTGAGGCTAATGGAAATGCTTGCTACCTAATAAGCAAGTTCTGAGTTAACTGTGAAGTGTGAAGAATTGAGGAAAAGCCAAAAGACTCTTTGGGTGGCCTCACAGCAGGAGAGCTGAGACCCAGGGCAAGAGGGCTTTACCAGGACATGGGGATTTGCATCTTTTAAGGATCACCCCATCTTTGAGGTGGGAAGTGAGCTCTGGGATTGTCAAGTTCAGCCCTCCTGTTCAGAGGAGCCTTCTTGGGACTTTGTGTGTTTGAATGTTGAATATCTCCAAGGATGGAGACTTTGGAACACTTCTGGTCAACCTGTTCCTGTTCTTGTTCACTCTCACAGTGTTTAAAAAGAAAAAAGCCACTTCTTATGCTTAAGTGGAATTTTCTATTTTTCAGTTTGTCTGTTCTTTCCCTGCATAACACTGAGTAGACTCTGATTCAGTCTTTACAGCCCTCCCTTCTCCACCTCGTCAGGTATTTTTAAAAATAGATATTTTTGTGGAGAAAGGGTTCTGTTTTTTGAAGATGGATGCCAAATTTGCTGTCATGTTGCGACACTAGGAGAAGGGCAAATACTTGAGAACCTGGAAGAGTGAAGTGGGGCCCTAGGAATGGATAATAATTAAACTTTTACCTTCCCAATTCTTTGATTCTGGCTTAAAAAATGAATGGCATGCACATAGTGGTTCCTTATCATGTTTTAACTGAGTAAGCCTAGTAACGTACTGAACTTAGTCAAAAATATAGACTCTTGCCGTGACCTGCAAACACTTTCCCTTTGGGATTGTTTCCAATTTTCAGAAGTATTTGCTCTGAGTTTCTCAATAAGCAATAGCAGAGGTATTTCCCTTTCTCTTTTGTTCTGTGATTTGCTTCTCTTCCTGTTAATAACAGTTTGTGAGCATCAGTTGAGCAGTTTTGCAATGTGTAAATGTCACCCCTAAAATTTGAGCATGAATTGGACTGTTTAGTTTGGGGCTGCAAAAAACTTTCTCCAAAGGAGAGCTGGAAATCAGTGGGAGCTCTGCCTGCGTGTAGAGCAGTCAGTAGTGCAGTCGTGTGAAACGACTGGTGTTTACCTCTGGTAATAGCTTCCTCATTGCAGCCCTTCCAGAAGGAGATGATGCTTATTTATTTGTTTTCCTGTGCAAGAAAAAGCTCTTTTCTTAATGAACAGGGTAATTACATATAGCGATGCCTGCCTCTTTGATTTGTTTTGACAGTTTAAATGTGCTGGGGTAAGTCCTAGCTGACTAATTCCTCTATCATTTTAAATCAGTGCAAGTCTCTCCTTACCAGTAAGATCCCAGCATGTTGGGATATAACCGGGACCGCTTTGGAAGGTGTTGGTGTGGAGCTGTTGGAATTTTGATTATGTTCAGGCTCATTTTTTCTGTGCCTTACAGCCAGAGCACTCTCTACATGTTGGTGCTGATGGAATCACCTCCAAGACTTTTGATTGTGAGGGTTTATTCAGGCTGCCTCAGCAAAGTGCAGCAATCAAATTCCCTCAAGGAAAACTGTCCCTTAATTCTAATTGTTCCTCTCTGCAGCTTTTCTTGCCTTAAACCTTGCTTGCTCTGCTTTCTGCATGAGAGGAGAGCAATCTATGAAGTTAACATCACATCTTTCGTTGTGAAAATCCTATCTACACTACAAAAGATTTGGCAGACACATTTGAATTCAAGTCAAGGTTTTTAAGTGTTTCAGAGATACAGATCCATATGGTACGATGTTCAACTAATTAGCATAAATATTTATGGGTAACTTACTAGCTAAGATTGACTCTAGATGGCATGATGAAAAACACTTCACAATTGAGTTTCAGCAGCTAAAGTCGATGATTTTTTTTTGTCTGGATAGATCTATATTTTGAGTAGAACTGAATTTATCTAACCTTATGTGATATCTATCTCACTCCTTTTTTAGAGAGGAAGTCTTATGGTTGTACAAGATGCTCTTTGCTGTACTTAATCACAACAATGAAGGTTGGTTTGTTTTTTTTTCCTACAGAAAAAGATGGCAAAGCCTTTCATCCAACATACGAAGAAAAACTCAAACTTGTGGCACTGCACAAGCAGGTTCTTCTGGGACCTTACAACCCTGACACTTGCCCTGAAGTTGGATTCTTTGATGTGCTGGGGAATGACAGAAGGTAAAAAGTCTGGTACTCTTCTTGGCCTTAAATGTGCTTTTCTGTCTGAAGATAAGATCATCCAGTTTCTGCAATATGCCTCTGTGTGTATGGTAGTGGAGAGTGAGAGTGGCCCCTTCAAATATATCTTGGGGATTTGAGTCACAGTTCAGTAAAGGAGCTGACAGAAGATTGTTGGGGTTTTATCAACCACATTAGGAAAAGCTGCTCTGCCAACAGTCCAGTTTTTCTCATAGCAGTTTAAGACTTGGTTAGCTGTGCATTAATGTGCAGGACCATGTTTTGTCCTCACTCCACACCAGGGTTACAGCAGGCCAAGCCAATGGTAGCAGCATTCACCATAGCTTTTGCTAATACCAAAGACACCTCCTGAAATCAGATACCCGATGCACTCAAACTCTGAGTGAATTTTTATGAGATCTGGGCAGTCCCAGGCATGTCTCATGTGTTGCTTGCAGTTCAGGCTGCACTTCTAATGTTTATTGTTGCTCTTTCTGCTGTGAAGGCAATGTGCACCACAGCACTGGCTTCATAAAGCTGGAGCCTGTGCATTGCTTCTGCCCAGATGGACAGAGTTCTTTCCTTTAGGAAGAACCAGGCTGTTGCATTCAACCAACTGAAGGACTCTAATTGATAGTTGTTACCATGTTTGTTCATCCAGGAAAATGAATGCATTTTTTTCCCACAAACTAGAGTGGAAGAAGGGTAGAAACTATTTCAGCTTCATTTGTAGCTGGGAAGCTTCTGGACACAGTTCAGAATTCTAAGTGGGGTTGATGGTGTGTAATGAGATTTCAAGTAAGGATTCAGTTATGTCTGTTTGAAGAGTTGTTCTGGTACGGGCAGAAGAAATCATTATTGCTGTCTTTTGGAAAAAGTTCTTGGTTCCCTGAAACTGCATATGATGAAGTTTAACCTCTGGTCTCCCAACTTTTTTTTTTTTTCCCCATTTGTTGGGTCTCAGAGTTTGATACTGACTTGAAAGGAGTTGAGTCTTCTGTTAATTCAGCTGGTTTCTCTCTTGCAGGAAGGAATGGGCTGCCCTTGGAAACATGTCAAAGCAAAAAGCAATGACAGAATTTGTGAAGCTACTGAATAGGTGCTGCCACTTGTTTTCAACATATGTCACTTCCCACAAGATAGAGAAAGAAGAACAAGAAAAGAAAAGGTGATGTTTGAGTCCTTTGTTGTTGGAGTGTATTGAGTGTATAACTTTTGACTTACGGACAGTGTCCCAGCTAGTTGTCTTGGGAAGAGAAATGCTTGAAGTTTAGGTGGCTGTGGTACCATTTGATCTCTGTAAGCCTTTCTACTTTGCCAGCAATAGATGATTGTCTCTGAAGTGAAGACACTGATAATAGAAGGAGCTTTTAAAATTTTGCAGATACTCTCATCTGCTTAACAAATACATGCTTCATAAAATGTCTGCCCCAATGTGTCTGTGGACTGCAGCACATGCAGAACATGAAGTTGTCAGGTCCTTCATACTCCTCTTTCGGTATGGGTTAGCAACTTGACAAAGGCTATTTCCTGTCACTTACGTATGTGACTATTAAACTATAGTACAGTATAATTATTGAACTTCTGTTAGAGCTTGGAACATGTGTTTAAGGTTTCTAGGCAATTTTTTTCAACTGTTGTCTGCTACAGGTAGTATAGTAACAGGTTAGAATGAATATTGAATTATAATACAGAATTTACTTGTACTGTACTGCAAAGTGCAGCAAAACCAAAGAGTAACACGTTTTCTTGTGTCCAGTAAGACACTTCTCCAGACCAATTTAAACGGGAGGAGATGATACCAAACAAGAAGCTTTACTGGGCAGGCAGAAGGCATGTTGCAGCATGTTGAAAATAACTCATCCTAGGATTGTAGGAGTGCTGAAGTAGCTTGTTGGGTGGATGTTGCAGGAGATAAGATGAAGAGCGGCGGCGGCGTGAAGAGGAGGAACGTGAGCGTTTGCAAAAGGAAGAAGAAAAACGTAGGCGAGAAGAGGAGGAAAGACTGAGGAGGGAAGAAGAAGAGAGAAGGAGAATAGAGGAGGAACGACTTCGGATGGAACAACAGAAGTGAGTAGCTGAAACAAACAATGCTTCAGAGAAAATCACTGCCTTGTACTTAAGGTAATTGTATCTAACTCTTTAGACAGTTATGCTGGAATTGAATACCCGCAGCTCAGAGCACTCGAGTGCTCTCGCTGGCAGTGGCATTTGCATCCTTAGTTAAGAGGGACACAGTTTGCAGAGAATAATTATCCTGATGTTCTTGGATGAAAGTGCCAGAGAGGCTTTGTTTAAAGAGAAGCTCTGGAGGTTTTTGGATTCAAGGGCTGTACCTCATCAAAACTTGTGGCTCTGCTTCTTAAATGATTAGTGCTGCACTCCAACTGAGCAGAGTTAAGTGTCCAGCTGGAGGTGTTGTTTGAACTGTGACTTGAAAATTTCTATCCTTTCAAAGAAGATGGAGCCTTGAAAAAGGCTCAGTGTTCAGCGGAGTGTTTTGAATGCATGGCTGAAATTTTCTAACTTTGTAGTCTTAACACTGCCTCCCTAAAGGTGTTCTCTTTCTAGAAGTGTGATGTGTCTGCAGATCTCATTTGTACGCCGGCCATCACTGGATCTTACCCTTTCTAAAAGGAATACAAAATTAACATTCAAATGCACTTAACCTCTCTTTGTAGCCTGAATTAAATTGTTTACTTAGAAAATACAGCTCTAGTTATATATCACTGTTCCTATCACATCCAGATGCTGAAAACATGCATCTAGCTTTGCACGCACAATATTTAAGAGAATAGTAAATTACTGAAGCTGTTCCACGTCACTCAGCAGCCATTTTACATAATAAAAATGTCTTTGCAGGGAGTGTCTCTGAAGTAGATCCTGTGCTTGCTATAAGGTTCTTTTGAGAAGGGAGCAAATAATGAATCCACAGGTTTTACTGTTTAACATGGAGAGAGCTAGAGGAGTATAAAATACAGACATAAATTAACATAAAATGGATGTTTGACAGTGCTCAGTAACGATAAGTGTGGTATGCCTTGAAATTAGGAGATTATTGGTTTTTTTACATGAATAGCAGTTGTGTATTGAGCGGTTTTAGGTTACATAGATAGAGTTTAGACGCAAAGCTGGATCTGTATATACAGGCCAAGTGTATCTAAACTAGTCGTAGTTTGCTGAAGAGTAGTAAATCTTGCCCTTTAGGATACTAAACTAGTTTAATACTGGAGGATTAATCAGATGATATTTGGGGAAGGAAGAAGTGGGAAGGGAAGAATTACATCTGCATTTGTGCGATACTTTTCTTTCTTCCTTTGAAGCATCAGTAGCTGGTCACTGACAGACATAATATGTGAGACAAACCCTGTACCTAGCTAGTAATTTTACCTTACAGCTTCTGTTAGCCCTTTGGAGAGAGGAGAGAAACTGTGTGAATAAGTAACTCACATGTTTCTCCTCAAGTTTCAGTAGCTGAGTTTATTGGAGGCACAGATGCCCTATTTGGCAGCATTTTTCTTCTTCTGTTCCTGAATGAGGCCACGGTCAGTCATGCTTTTCATGTTTGTTTGCATACTGTCCTGGGAAATCAGGATAGTAATGTGGCGTGTTCTTCTTAGATTTACCCAAAAGCATTGGCATGCTGTACCACAGCAGGTTTGTTCTTATCTAGAAGGGTGGTTTCTGCGTATTTTCCAGAGGAACCAAATGTGGCTTTTACCTGTTGCTTGTTTGAGAAATTTAGTCACGCTTTTTTGTAGCACTACCTCTGTATCAGATTATAGATTGAGCATTACATAAGAGCTCTTGTGTTTTTCACATTTGATGTTTTCAAACATGGGGTAAAAATTGTTGCTCCTTCCTTTATGTTCTCAGCATATTGTTTAGGTGAGATTCACAACTGCATTACCTCTGGGCTCTGCTCTGTTATGTAGATTTAACTGATTTTTGCAGGAATTACATTAACTGATTTTGAGTCCACTCAAATCACTTAAGTACAGGAATTTTCCCCAGTACCTTCAGCTTGTAATCTTCCTGCTTTCCTTCACCAATCTAGGCAACAGATAATGGCAGCACTCAACTCCCAGACTGCCATGCAGTTCCAGCAGTATGCAGCCCAGCAGTATCCGGGCAACTACGAACAGCAGCAGATCCTAATTCGGCAGCTCCAGGAGCAGCATTATCAACAGTACATGCAGCAGTTGTATCAAGTCCAGCTTGCACAGCAACAGGTATGGCCAAACAGCCGAGTAACTTAGATTTTGTGTCCAAGGCTGTCTCTGGCAGATGTTAACTTGTCTGCCGCTATCTCCTTGAAAAGATACTTGCTACAAGGAGAGACAGTGCCCTAGTGACTAATGCTGCTTCAGATCCAAACACCAAAGACCCTTTATTTAATCTTTTCAAGTAGTTTTCTGAAGCAGCTGTTAGTTAAGAAAATTCTAAGCAGCCGTTACTAATTACTTGGCTCCACACTATTCTTGGAGACCAAATGTGAAGCATTCTGCTGCAGCAGCTATTGTGTGTGTGATTTAATGGGGGTACACACCAGTGCATCTGAGCAGTAACAGACCAATTCAGGTGACTCTCCCTGTTGGTATCCCACCTGCAGATCTGTGCAGAGCAGCAGGCAGGGGTCAGCCACCTGTCTCCAGCTGAATGTGCGTGCAGCGCTGTCACATCACTACTGGGATTTGCATTACTACAGGATTGCTCCATCCTGTCAGCTTGAGCACTGCTGACTTCTCTCTCCTTTCACATCTACTGTCTGACATCAGTATCTAATTAAGTTGCTCATGATTTGAGTAGGAGGACAGACTCCCATATTTCTGGTAGCAATGGGTGGCAGTAGTACATTACTGCTTTGCAAGGGTTTCGTGCCTGGGCTTGAACAGCTGCTTCTCTGTTAGGGGGATCTTGCATGTCTGGCAGATGTGCTGCGTTCACATCTCAAACTATTTTACAGTTCAAGGATGTTCATCTGTTACTGTCTTAAACAGATGTAAGTCAGACTCTGGTATGTCTGACCTCTCGGGGCAGGACCTGAATCTTAAATGGCCTATAACTACCAGCCTGAGGCCTTTTGGTCTTGAGTGAAAGGCTTAAAATTCAGTAACTAATTTCCTCTTAAGTAATTTGTATTTTGATGAGGCTGATGCCCTTAGCAAAGAACTGTCTGAGGAAAGCAAGCCATGTGAATCCATGTGGCCCATGTGAACCTCGTGAAGTTCAAAAAGTCCATGTGCAAGGTCCTGCGCCTGGGTTGGGGCAGTCCTCAGTGTCAGTACGGGTTGTGGGGTGAAAGGATTGAGAGCAGCCCTGTGGAGATGGGCTTGGGCATACTGGTGGATGAAAAACAGAACATGATCTGGCAATGGGCTCTTGCAGCCAAGAAAGCAAATTGTGTCCTGGGCTGCCTCAAAAGAAGTGTGTCCAGAAGGTTGAGGGAAAGGAGGTGATTCTTCCCATTATTCAGCTCTTGTGAGACCTCACCTGGAGTCCTGTATCCAGCTCTGGAGCCCTCAGCATAGGAAAGACGTGTTATCTGTTGGGTCAGGTCCAGAGGAGGGCCACAAAGGTGGTCAGAGGGCTGGAGCACCTCTCCTGTGAGGAAGGGTTGAGATTGTTGGGGTTGTTCAGCCTGGAGAAAAGGAGGCTCCAGGGACACCTTATTGCAGCCTTTCAGTACTTAAAGGGGACCTATATAGAAAGACAAAGACAGACCTTTTTACCAGGGCCTGTAGTGACAGGACAAGGAGTGATGGTTTTGGTCTGAGTGTAGGTTTAGTTCAGACATAAGGAAGAAATTTTTCTTTTACCGTGAAGGTGGTCAGACACTGGGTCAGGTTGCCCAGAGAAGCTGTGGATGCCCCATCATTGGGAATGTTCAAGGTCAGGTTGGATGGAGCTTTGAGTAGACTGATCTAATGAAAGATGTCCCCGCCCATGTCAGGGAGGGTTGGATTAGGTGACCTTTAAAGGTCCCTTCCAAAACAGATAGTGATTTGATGGCCAGTGCCTTGATGTCACAGTGGTACGCAAAAGCTGTGGGCTCATCAGTCTTGTCCTTGATGCCTTCTGTAATTGATACTTCTCTCTTGAGATTGAGGTGTTAGTGGTGCTGCTGCTGCCAGCTTTCTTCAGTGCTGTCCACACTGCTCCTTTCAATCATGTCTGTCTGCTTTCTATGTACAGAAGACTATTGCCCTTCAAGACCCAAGCAAAACAGCCTTTCCTTTATAGTGGCTTACAAAATAAGTCTGCCAGGCAATGGAGCTTGTTTCTCAGATCTCTACATGGACAACCCTCATAAAGGAAAGGATGAAAAAGAAGCATGTAACAGAGCCAAAATTATCTGCTTCAGACTTTCTTGAAGACTGAGGTAGCATCTATAAGATCTACAAGGAATGTTATTGTTTTGGATACCTATAACTCAGCTGCCTTGAGATCTATTAGTGCAGTTAAAGTGCTGTTCTGGCATGGCTGCTTACAGATCAGTTTGTGATACAGTTAATTTTGGGAAGGCTGCATGTGACAGTTTTCTAGAAGAGTGTTCACTGCTTTACATCGTCGCAGCGCACAGAACTGCTGTAGTAGAAAGTGGACCTAGGCACTATCTGTGCAATTGCTCGTATTTGAAGTGTAACTATTTGACTGATTTCATACTCCTTAAGGATACCCGTATTCCGTTCTTTCATCAAAATTGTGTGGTTAAGTTATTCTCTAACAAATGATACCTGCCAATTATACCTTTCCCTGTCCCAACAAAAAAAGCATATGTAATATCTCCATACTGATAACTAGGGAATAAGCTTTGAAGCTAAAGGGATAATGCATCATGCTTAAATCCAGAAGGATGGTTGTTACCTTGTATAATCTCATTTTAGGTGTATTTAATCCTTTGCACAGGAACAGCATGATAAGTTCTATCTAAAGAGTTTCAGTGTATGTAAGTCACGTTCTAAAAGCAGCACCTCTGAGCTTTAATAACTCTTCTTCCAGACCACTCGCAGTCCTCATAGCTCTTTTGCTTCCTGCTTTAATATTAAATAACTGCCTTTGTCAGGTATCGTGGATTTGATAGACAACCCTGTTGAGCAAGTTAACTCACAAATTGGCAAGGACTTAATAGACCTTAAATAATTCTAGCTTGTTTTAGACCTGGATGAGCTCAGGTTAGAACCCTTTCAGCTCACTGGTAAAAAACAGTAGAGGAGTCGTCACTTCCAGATTTGAAAGAAATGTTATAAGAATTACTGAGATGCAGAAATTCTGTAGTTAAGTGCAAGAGTTTGTGTGCCCTAATTAGCTGGAAAGTTGAATCATTTTGTTCAGACTGTGTCCACCAGAACACAGTGACTTCACTTCCCCTGATACTAAGCCCATGTAATTCTCATGGGTTAATGTGTGCTGCTTCTGCTCATGTCACACCCCATTGTGGGGTGCAGGGGGGGGATTTTTTTCTTTTATACCTTCTGCTGGAAGAGGGAAGCATCCTGGGAGGTTTTTGGGTTTACTTGACTTAATTTCTGTCATTTTAGGCAGCCTTACAAAAACAGCAGGAAGCAGTTGTGGCAGCAGCAGGGACACCTCTGACTACTGCATCGAAGGTGAATACACCTACCCCAGGGGACACCCCGTCTATTAATGGGCAGGCCAGTGCACATGCAGACAGCCCTGACAAAGAACTGGATCCAGAGGCTTTGGAAGAAGCACTGGAGAATGGACCAAAAGGTAGGACTAGCTAGACTGCTTAATTAAAAACAAGTAATAAAAGCCATTCCTAGGATTCAGATGTCTTAAGTGTGGCTACTGTGGCTCTTCGTTTGGCCTCATCTGCCTGTGCAAGAGCTAGGTGGGATTCTTGGGTCCAGTCTCTTAAGGGAGAACAATACTGCGCAGGCCAAACCACTGCTTTATGGGGAGGGCAAGAGGAAGCAGCAAAAGCATTTCGGGCAAAGTGGATGGGGATCCAGAACCTCCTTTCACTCTTGGCTTGAGGGAAAGAAGCATAAAAGTTCTAGCAGAAAGCTGTCCTGTGCAGAAACATGTTCAGTCTTTTTTGAACTCTGGTCAAAACTGAGTGATTTAGCTTTGAAGACTGAAATAAAGCCGAATCCTTCTTGCTCTCTCTGAATGCTGCCCTACCTGTGCCTTAGCCCTGTCCCATGTGCAGTCTGGACTGCTGTCCCCTCACATTTCCCACTGTCCTCAGACAGCTTGTGGGAAGCTGTGGAAGTGGAGCAGGAAAAGCAGCCTCCCAGCAGTGCTCTCATTGCTTATATTTCTGAGTGTTACCTCTGTACTTCCATCCACAGTCAGTAGTCCTCAACAGACATGCTTGGATCCCAGTATGGAACCAACACTAGCATAGTCCCTGTCTGCATAATGAGTTATTTTTGTCAATATTTGACAATTCCTACACAAATCCACAACCTCTGTTTCTGTCACATTAAGGATTTTTTCAGCAAAGGGGTTCTGTGCAGTGTAACCCCATGGCCTGTAGCAGTATGTCTGTCTTCAGAGTCTTTTCTGCCTGAGTGCCCATTTGCCCCACTTAAACCAAGAGAGGACTGGTAGGATTTAAATTTGTAGTGTTATATCTAAACTTACACTGCATTTCATGCAAATTTCAGCTGTAAAGAGATGTTTCTTCAGCTAATTAAAAATTACTTGAAAGCAACTGTAATGCTTGTGGTCTTCAAGTGCCCCTAAGGCACACTTCAGTATGCAGCATAAATAAGGGAAACAAAGCCCAACTGGAGTCTTCCCTCTGCTCTCTCCAGATTCTGTTCCTGTGATAGCTGCCCCGTCGATGTGGACACGACCCCAGATAAAAGACTTCAAGGAAAAAATCCGGCAGGATGCAGACTCTGTGATCACAGTGGGCCGAGGAGAAGTGGTCACGGTCAGAGTACCAACTCACGAAGAGGGGTCTTACCTCTTCTGGGAGTTTGCTACAGACAATTATGACATTGGGTTTGGGGTGTATTTTGAATGGACAGACTCGCCTAACACTGCAGTCAGTGTGCATGTCAGCGAATCCAGTGAGGATGAGGATGAAGAAGAAGGTAAGTGTGCTTATTCATGTAAACTGCCAGTGCTGCAGGGCTTGCCATGGGGGGAAAACCCAACTGATAGTGTCATCTCCTAGTTCCCTACTAGCTGGAACCTTCAATTTTGAATAGGAAGTGCACTTCTGAAAGTCACTTCATTTGGTTACATAGAAGCTAAAGCAATTGAAGGTGAGGAAATCTTTTTCCCAGGTTTTACTTATTCTTCAGTGTGCCCCCTTGTCCAGTTCAGCTATTCAGTAAGCTAGACTGAAACTCATGCCATAGTAGAGTGTAGTGGATCTGTGCACTGAAAGCCTTGAGAAAAATCCTGCCTTGCTGTTCATAAACTTTTTCTAGGGAGGAAGTTTCCTTGAGGCTTCAGCAAAACAGCTTAAAAGAGCAATTCCTGATAGTGGCCAGGATGCAGGTCATGGCCTTTATAGGGAAGTCTAGCATACCACTGGAAAAAAATGTTTGGAAATGAGCATGTGATTTGCTTAGAAGGAGCTGTTCTGACCTAGGAAGCAGGGGCCTTCTGGATGTTACCACAGAGTAATCAGTAGCAGTATGTATGTCAGATCAGGAGCAGTCAATGTGGGGCATTGTCTTAATGAAAACTAGAGCCTGGCATCTCTACAAACTGACCCATCTGTGCAGGGGAGATGAATGTGGTGAGTTTTAATATCAAACTATAGAATTCATGATAAAGTGAGCACTCCTGCTGTTCCTCCTGCTTTTGAGTGGTTTAGCCACAGCCTTGGCATGAACCCCTTTGACCCATCTCATTTCTGAACTAACAAAGAGTGCCTTGTCCACTACGGATCAGTCTGACTTTCTCTTGTAAAATATCCACCCATGTTGACTGACACCTTTTTTTTTTTTTCCCCTTGCAGAAAATACTAGTGGTGAAGAAAAAGCCAAAAAGAATGCCAACAAGCCTCAGCTAGATGAAATAGTGCCTGTGTACAGACGAGACTGTCACGAAGAAGTGTATGCTGGCAGCCACCAGTACCCAGGGAGAGGAGTTTATCTTCTTAAATTTGACAACTCCTACTCCCTATGGAGGTCAAAAACAGTTTACTACAGAGTTTATTATACTAGATAAAGGTGTGGCTGTGTCTGAGGCTGGGCTGTGCAGAAGATGTCATTTTATTTGGAATTTTCTTCAAGCATAATGGATCATTTTGAGTCTGTGTTTTATCTTGTCTTTATCTGTATGGTTTGTGTGAACTTTAACAAGTAGACACTGGGATCTTCCTGCTCCATGACACTAATGCATATTGCATTGGGCTTAACACAGGATCTCCCTAGCCCTTCTGGGTATTGGAGTTAACCAGTGGAAGTCATTGGCTCCAGTGCTAAGGTCGCATCAGTTGCATTTGTTAAAGCCTCGTGAAAAAGGGGGAGGGAATTGCTGGCTCACTGGCTGGGTGATCTGACGTTTCCAGGTCTGGATGCTTTGAATAACTTGTTAACGGTTAATTTAAAGGTCCCATCAATAACTGGTAGATTTGGATGCAGTTTGCTGTGTAGCAAGTTTCTCTTAACTGTAATTGAATGTCAGATTTTTACACCATTAAAACTTGAAACTTTAAGTTGATGCAGTTTAGAAACGAGTTGTCTCGCTTCTGTCCTCTTCAAAGAAGAAACATTCAGTTCCTTAAACCAGTGTAGTGGCTAAGACAAGGGTGAACAGCATCCCCAGAGCATAGCAAAGAACCTCTTCTGAAGGTGTAAACTGGATGACAATGAAAAGTATATCTAACAAGAAGAACCTTAATTTCTCTGTCCTGCTTCTAACCCTAGAATAAAAGGGGTTTTTTTGAGGCTATTAACTTTGAACCAGGGCACAAATTATTCCTAAGTTTGGTGGGTTTTTAATGGGGTAGACTTAAAATAATAGTAAAATCTATGAACGTGAAACTAGTTTCCTGCACAGCGTTCAGGTTTGTCTGTTTTTGTAAAACCTGAATAAGCTCGTTGTGCATCTGGAGAACAGTAAGTCACTTTGATAAAGTATAGGAGATAATGTTGCACTAATTATGGAGATTACTGCCAGTCCATTTTAGTCTGAACTGGTGATCCTCGGGCGCAAACTTTCTGCTTTAACCTGTAACTGTGCAGAAAGGCAGAGTGCACATACAGATACTTAATGTAGCTTTAATCTTGGTTTCATATGGTTCCGTTGGGGCATTTCATATTTTGAGTAGTGGAAAAATGCAGATGGCTACTGGACTTGAGGCTGCAATAAGAACCTGCTCTCCTTGGAGCCCTGCACCCCAGGGGTGACGTGTTGTGATGAGGACTTGCCTAAGTGCTCTCTGCGTGGGTGATGCACTTTGTTACTAGAAGAAAACAGTTCCTTTGGGTCTCTCAGATCAGTTCTTGCAGAAAGACTTCCATTGATTAGCTGCAGCATGTACCGTTCCACGGCAGATGATGTTGAGTTTGTGGGATTTGTTTGAAGAACCCGTTTGTACATACATGATACTTTACTTTTCTCATACCAACCACGGAGATACTTCTCCTAGAGCGCTTAACTTGTCATCTCGCGTTTGGTTCAGCAACACCGTAACCAGCTTAGAGCTAGTTAGTGCTGCTTTATCCAAAAACACTGTACAATGTTCTGCTCTTGTGTACAGACAGTATATAAACCATGAATTTAGAAAGTACCTTGCTTTTAAAGAAAACTGTATTTAATGTAAAAAAAAACTTTTAAAAAAGCAGGCACTAATATATTTCTCCAGTCTTCAATTTAATTTTTCTTTTTTTGTCCATACAGAAATGTTACAACTCCTTCCTCTAAGAGTATCTGTTCTTGGGAGCGGTGTTTGTCGCTTTAAATGGCAGCACTTACTATCATGTGTTGGATGTTAGAACTTTTACGTTTTCAGACTTTTTTTTATTGCCTCTGGCTGTTGATTAGTACAGTACAAGTGCGATTTCAAGATACCTTGAGATAGTATTTAATCCTAATTAAAAGACATTTATCTGTAATGCTGTTGGCTTTTTATTAATTTGGAAACCTTGACATTGCTGTGTATGCCTATTCAGCTAGGATGAGCTTGTCATCTTCCCTCTCATTTTTAAAAACTCAGTACCATGCTAACACTGTGGTCTTGGCAGCCCATTCCTTTGGGCCAAATGCTCTGCACGAGAAGTGTTGCTAGCTCACTGGATGAGGCCATGTGTCAATACTAGAAGAGCCCAGCTTGAAAAGCATCGTCACTATGCTGTGTTGTTTTGTTTGTTTGTTTTTTTTTTGAAAGGAGCAGAAGGAGCTGGATGTGGGCAGTTAAAGCCTGTAAGCTGTTTCCTGCCTAGGAGAAAAGTGCCAGCCTTTCCCCCTGCGGCTTACTGAACCCAGCCCCAAGGGGCAGTAGGGGTTGGCTGTGCTGTCCTGGAAATCCCTTGGCCTGAAGGGCAAGAGACAGGCAGGACCATGCACTCTTCAGACTGAACAAAAAGAAAAGCAACAACCTAGAGGCAAAAAGGCCAGTGATGTAAAAGGTTTGTTGGCCAAAATCACTCTCTGCTGCTAACCAATACTAGTAAGTAGCTTATCCTGGAGCTGAGGCCAGAAGCAGGTTTTGCACTAGTTTGATCTGTGGTCCAGGTCCCGTTGAGCCCATCTGCCCCCACAGACAGTGTCCTCTCAAGCTGGTGCTTCCTGATCCCATCTGGGCAGCAGAAGCCTCTTCAGTGAGAATGAAGCAAGTGCTGTGCTGTTAGAAGCAATTTCACCCGTCTCCTGCATGTCCAAATTCCCCTTTCTCCAACTGAAAGTGAAGCACACTGCTTCTCCAGCTTCACAAGAGAGTCATTGTGAGCGCTTCCTGCAATTAACTGTTAAGTCACGGGCAACAAGTCTGGGTGGTTCAACATAAACAGGTTGACAAAGCTCAGTTCCAAATATACAAGTCCTTTGAGAAAAGCTAAATAATCTGAGGGATGAACTTGTTAGAAATTATGTTTTCAGAAGCACTGTCAGCGTGGATGCTGCTAATGCAGCTGCTTCTTCATTGAGGCAGCTGCATGGGAGGTACTGAGGCAAGGTCTTCCTTGACTCTGCTGTCCCAGAAGGATGAGCAATGCAATGGAAACAACTTGCTAGTTAAGCCACTTGGTTGCTCTGTGAGATTATCCCTGCCTATCTTCTTTGCTGTCCTTCCCCACCCCTTGGTTTTTAGCACTTTCTGTTTTGTACTTCGCTTTTTAAGTCACAGATTAAACGCACTGTGTTTTGGAGCACCTGGACGCAGCCTTTTAGGTAACTAATGGGCAGGGTCATAAAAATCAATTGTCTGCTGTCAAAGGAGGTCTAAAGGGGCACTTCAGCCATCTAAACTCCTCCTACTTAGGGGCTTGCTTCAGAAAGTGTAAGATTGGGCTTCATAGACCTGTTGAAGTACAAAAAAAGTGAAGTAGCCCAGTAGCCATCCTTTACCCAAGCGCTAGCCACTTGTCAGTTCAGGGCAGTTGTCAACCCTGTTAATCTGAAGAGCAATATGAAGGCTGCTTTCTGACAGCTTGATGCTCTCTTCTTCCTAGCAGCACATCCTGGAATTGCCATCCTCTTCAGCCCCTACCATATTTGCAGTGAAAAGACTGCAAAGGGAAGCTGGAAAAAGCTTGTTCCAGATCTCCAATTCCTCCCAGCCTGTTTCATTCATGTTCCTCGCTTTTGGGCTCTGGTCCTGTAGCTCCTGCCCTTCCTTGAGCTCCTCTAACATGTTTGGCTTCCTCATATACATGCTACAGGGACTGATCCAGCACCTTCCATATACATGGCACCACTTAAGGATGTCAGCTAGAGCAAGAGGCCAGCTAAAATGCATGTACCTCCAGGATTTATGGATAATTGGTTTCTCTCTTACAGGCTGTTACTTCCTAGCTGTTTCTGCTCTATCTCCACCATTCCACCTCTCCCCAAAAGCACAGTTCAAATTATTAAGCCAAGCTCCTCCTGTTTGCAAACCAAACCCGGTGGCAGGAGCTTTTAGCTTCCACTGCCAGCCTGTCTGTGCTTCCACTCCTGCTCGCTGTGTGGGAAGCAGCATATAAAAGGGAAAACTTTTGGGGTTGGGTCTCTTGCTTTACTATGTGCTGGTGGAAGGAGATTTGTGATAGAGATGTGTGAGTCCCATGCTCTGCGACAGCAGCTTGCCTGTGTTGGGCTCAGGTGTGCCAGCAGTGTTTGCACCCACAGCTGCTTTGACAGGGCAGCTTGCAAGTGTGAGCTGTGTGCTTTTGGGTCCATTGCTTAACAAAATAAAACTGCTAACCTCACACCACAGCTGCATCCAGCACCACATACTAGAAGATTAAGCAAAGCATGAAATGATATCCCAAATCTTTCCCCAAATGCCGCTCATCCGAGATCTGCCAGTTACACATCAAAGGCCTTTCAAAGGTGTTTCACTGAAACAATGCCAGATTGTCTTAAAATAAGTGTCTTAAACCATTTGGGTGAGTACAGATATTACAGTAACTGTCTTGGAATGTAGGTTTTGCAGTGCGATACAGGTATTGCATGTGCAAAGTTACCATTTGTTATCTTAAAAACAAGAAACTTGCAAGGAATGAGGAAAAAATGTTGACACTTGTACTGTATATGTTCTTCTGCTGAACTCTACTATTTTCATCTTCTGTCACCTCCATCACGAAGCTGGTGAGAAACCTGATCCTTTTGATCAGGGGGCTCAGCACTGGCACGCCTAACTGGTGGTCAGATTTTGGGGAGGTTTAGTTCAGCTTATGCTGCTTCTTCTGAGTTTAGGGTTTTCCTTCGTGTTGCACTTGGGGTTTCATACTTTTCTGTTTTGGGGGAGCAGCTGCTGAGTGATGATCACTGTTCTCACCCAGACTGGCAGCTGCTCTGTACCAGGGCCCAGAAGGAGGTTTGGTGTTACTTCTTGCAGCATGTTTGGGCAAAAATACCCCTTGGCTGTTCTGAATGATAAAAACCCCACCCTATTCCCTTGGCCTGGCCAGCTCCCCACTCCCCTTCCCTGCAGCTCTTTGAGCTCTCATGCCACCCTGCCAGGCCAGCTCACAGCTCTTCTCCTGCCATGACTGCATTCCTGACGTGGCAGGGATGCACTGGGGAAGTGACCAGGGTTGCTGGTGTCTCATCTGCCTGAGGAAGCTCAAATGCAAGTCCCCCCCCCAGCACTTTTGATGAACTGTGGTCAGGAGAGCTGCCACTGCTCACCGAGCAAAACAAATGCTTGGCCTTCTGCCACCGTTTTGCTAGTAAACCACCTGTACAGCCATGAAGCTGTGGTACAGGATGCAGGGAACAGAGTTTTGGCCATGTGGGAACAGGCTCTGCAGCAAAAACTTCCCTCCAAAACTTCCCTCCACCCTGTGGCCAGGCATGACCCCCTTATCCCCCTCTTTGAGGCAGGGGCACTTGAGAGTTGTGGGAGATGATCCCTGTTCCTCCTCACCACCAGGCTTTTATATCAGATGGAGCAAGACATCTCTGTGTCTCTTCTGGCACTCTATGGGTGCTCAGAGCTGAAGGGTGGCTCCATGCCACGTAAGAGAAAGGGGTCTCCAAGCTAAAATAAGCCACACAAGTTCTCTCTGCCCT